TAGGTCTTTCGGCATTTTGAGCGGCTCTGAAGGTACGGGTATCGATTATTGCTCAAAATGCTGGCGGCTGCTCAAAGCGCTGCCGAAGTGTGAACGCAGTCTGATAAAGAATGGGTTCACACTTCGTGTCAGCATAGCGTTTGGGCGTACGCCAGCATCGGTCTAGAATCCAACCGTGCATGCCGCATGAGTACGCGAGCTTCCACCAGGAATGTAGAATATGGGGAAGTAGAATGGTGTCAGACGGATTAGGCATTGTGAATTGCAGCGTGTGCCACCGCATCATACAGCTGCTAAAGCAAAGAATTAGCAATATTGAAGTACGGTGTAGTGCAGTTGTACGGTGCGGTTGCACACGCCGCAAGTTTCACGACGCCTAATCCAGCAGTCTGCTACCCTCCTGTTTCCCCGTACTCTCCACTCCTGGTTGACGCTGGCGTACGCAAAGAGCGTGTTTATACTTCGCGATCGCGAAAAGAACGCACTCTAACTCGGAGCACGAATGCAGCCTAATGGCTTTATCAATCGATACCTTTCAGGTGCGGCCTGAAACCGACGCAATGGCCTCCCTGTTAGGCCGTTTCGATATGGATTCGCGCAGAGGAGATGAAAGTACGTTGAAAGCGCCGACGAATGGACAGCGCTCAGATGGACCGGTTGATTTCTCCACTCTCAGAGCTTAACGGTGTTTAAGACTTATTCGTCTCTGTGTTTATTTGTAGTTCATTTTTACTTGCTTGAACCCAAAGTATGTTACATTATGTTCGAAAGATTTGAAGACGCTATTGAGCTATGTTTTCATGTTGAAATATTCGGAATCCTTGAATCATATCGTTGCTCATTTTTAGCCACCCCCCCCCTTCTGTGTGGAGGTACGGCAATGAAATCACGCGTTCTGTGAATCTATATACTGTACTTTTTTCATTTCTTGTCTCTATTCTTGTGAAACTAGAGTCCTGTATGTGACCATGGTGAATACAATCGTAAACATATTCGATCAGTTGTCTGGAAAGTTGTGCTTATTTTTTCCCATTGATTCGAGTTTCATTCTAAAAGTCGTTAGGGGCGCTATTGGACTTGAGAGGGGCATTTTGAAATCCTGCTAGTTCCTGTTAAATCATACCACACATATGATAAGACTTGTAAACTCTTGGCAAGTGTAATTGAAGCTCCTGCAGTTGCACAGCTTCACAGGAACTTACAGGCTCAGTGACTGATGGCCACTAGCAAAATGCCCCCACCAAACCGAATTGCACCTCACTAGGTACTCGAAGTATATTTACCAATTATCTTTTGATCTGTTCTATTTGGTTTTATTGTGCCCTACAAACATTTCCTTCCAGAAGTGGGTTTTCAGTGAAGGAATCTTGTTCAGAAGTGGTTTGGTTGTGATGGGTTTCGCTCTTGGAGTTGATTGGCAGAAAACGAAACTTGAAAGAAATTTTAATAATGAATAAATTC